TGAGTGTGTGTGTGTGTGTGTGGGGGGAGGGCAAGAGTGTATGAGAGAGAGTGAAAGCTCCTGGGGCGGGCAGCTCTGGCTGTGGCTAAGTAGTGGCTGTGGGCTGGGGTGCCCGCCCAGGGCAGCTTATGGCATGGGGAAGGAATTCTCTGGGAACCCCAGCGGGCCTGGGCTGGCACCCCACCCACGGCGGGTGACCGGGCTGGGTGGCTGCTGCACTGAGTCAGCCCTTCTGGCCTGACTCCGCCCTGCCTCTCCTGGCTCTGCTGCCATATGGAGTGAGGGGCAGAAAAAGGCCTTGAGAACGCCCTGTTGGTTATCTGCCCCAAATATGAGATGGCATAGCTAGCATGGAGTGGGTGAGGGGGAGGAGTTGTACCCTTCCCAATTGCATTTGGGGAGGGCCAGAAAGAGCTTCAAGAATAGTCAGAGCCAAGGTTGAAAACAATGTAACTCTGTTTACCACGAGGAACCTGAGACCAGAGAGGTCTGTGCTTTGTGCAAAGTCACACGGCAGAGCTGGGAGTAAGTCTCCAGAAGGCAGTGTGGTGGCAACGGGGGGAGCCTAAGGCTCAGAGCTGGTGACCCCTCCCCATACTCCAAGTCAGTCTTATACAGACCCCCCACCCCCTCCACACACAGTGTTTTCTTCCGAGTCCAGGGAGAGGGTCTGGGCAGAAACCCCCTTCCCTCTCCTGCTCAGGCCCAGGTTGGGCGGAGAGTGGAGCAGGTGGGTTTCCTGGAGGTCTTTCTGCTGGCTCTTGGAGCTTGGGAATGACGCTGTGAACATTTTAATTTCTTTTTGGTTCTAGGTTATATATCCACAAAATTCCAAAATTCAAATGTTTAAATAAGAGATACAGTAAAAAGTCATCCTCCCACCCCCAATCCAGCCCCTGCCCCTCAGTCCCCCTTCTTAGAGGCCCCTGTAAGCACTGGCTTCCTGTGAATCCTGACTTTGAGATTTCTGACCAGAGCTGCCCATTTCCTGTTTTCTCTTTAGGAGAGGCTCCCTTGGGAGGTGAGGCTGGTGGGTGCTGGGAGACACCCAGCCATGAGGTTGGGGCCTGGACCAGGCAGACTAGTTGCCATGCAGATGGTGGTAGCCTCTTTCCTGGGCCTGAACTTGGCCTGAGCTTAACAGTACCCGACTCAAGCCACTCAGGAGGGGTGGAGCCCATTGGTTTCTCCTTTCCAACTGCTTATAGCATTTCTGAAAGCCCCCCACCTCCCACCTGGGGTACCCAGGTACCTGATACCCCAGCTGGGACTGCCACAGTCTCCCTTTAGCTCCTGGTATAATTTATACCAGGAGAGCCAAAAAAAATGTATACAAATGAACCCTTTGGTCAATGTTGCTCAAGCAGTAGTTCACTATAATCAGAAGTGTCTGGATGCTGATGGTAACCACTTTGAGTACCTCTTGCAATTGCAGAAGTCAAACGTGACTTGTATTCATCTTTTGTAATCAGTACATATTGAGTATTATAATTTTAATACAGTTTTCCTTTATTAAAATGTGTATACATTTTTTGGCACTCTCTGTATGCTTTTCCCACCCTCTTTCTCCTTGACAGTTCAATTCCACTTGGATTTATTAAGCACTTGTAACGTGCCCAGCCTGGCCTGGAGACTCAAAATGAAGTGGACTCAGCCTCCTCCATCCAGGAGCTGATGGTCTACTGGGGAGGCCAAAAGGAGAGAGATCATTACAATTCAAGATGGCCCATAGACCATTCTCTGCTAGGGGGCAAATAAAACATTGCACGTTAAGAAGCCTGACAACATCAAGTGTCGGTGATGGCATGGTTCAGGAGTCACACTCTCAGTGGCTGGTGAGAGGGTGAGTTAGAAGGGCCACTTTGGAGGGTAATTCGTCAATTCTAGGAAGTTGACAAAGCACCTTCCCAGTGATTCAGCAATCCCACGTTCTAAGTGCTCACTGTAGAGAAGAGTTTTTTAAACTTATTGACAGGTACCCTCAATAAGCGTACACTGTGTTCCAGAATACACACATCACACACAACAGGCACAAATTTTACCCTAATAGTTACCCTGATGGTATGTGATGCACGTGGATATTTTCCAATCAACTCTGAGTTTGAAAAATGCTGATCTTCACCCACTAAATTGATTTCATGACTCATTAATACACTTCAATCCATAATTTGAACACTGCCCTAGAGACACTCGTGTATGAACAAAGAGACAAGAATGTTTACTGCAACATTGTTTTGATAGCAAAAACTTAGATAGGGTTTAACAGTCACCAACAAAATGGATAAACAAATTGTGACGTGGTCAGGAGGTGGATTATCACACTGCAGCTTCATGTATCAAAGGATACACACAGGGTGATACCATTTATATAAAATGTAAAATCCTGCGGAGTACAGCATCACTGTGGGTACATCCATATGTGGTACAAGCATAAAACTGCATGAAGTGACACCCAAATCAGGGCAGTGGTTAGCGCTGGGGGAGAGGATGGGGGATGTCATCGGGGAGGAGTGCATAAGGAACTCCACATGAATTTTTTTTATTAGTTTCAGGTGTACAAAATAATGTAATAGTTAGACATTTCACCCCTCCTCACA